CTAAATTTGAAATTGTATTTAATGTAATTTATATAGCCACATGTAGCTGGCTAGTGGCTAGTGTGTTGGGACAGTGCAGCTTTAGAGATAGGACTATCAGTTAGGATGCTTTTGGTGTAAATCAGGTGACAGCACTAGGACAGAGTGTGATTCAAAGGATATTTCAGAAGCAAAGTAAGTGTATATAACATGAGAAAAAAAATCGAGAATGGGATCCCAGATTTCAGGCTTTGCAACTGAAAAGCTACTATGAGCCAGCAATATAGAAGGAGCAGGTCTAACATGCATACAGATGGCATCAATTTTGAACATGTAGTGTTTGGAGGGTTGTCTAAACTGTAATTACTATTTAGTAGCAAGACCAGCACAGGAGTTATCTGAACTAAAGACACAGATTTGAAGCTTTGAGCCACTAAGTGATTACTTAAAGATGAATAGAACTAGAAGCAAACTGAGGCAAAATCCTGGCAACATCAACAACACATAGAAAGAGAATAAAGAAGTCCAGGAAAGAGCCTGGAGAGGAACAGTTAGACAAGAAGAAAAGTAACAGGTGAGCCTGGTCACAGAAATCAAGAGAGTAGAGAATTTTAGGGAGGAAACACCATCAAATGTCAAATGCTTCAGAGAGGTCAAATAAGGTGAGAACTGAAAAGTGCTTCCTGACTTTGCCAATTAAGAGTTCCCTAGTGACATCTGCCAGAACAGTTTCAGTAATGTTAAGAAATGGGCTGACAAGTGAGGATGGGCTGAGAGAGGAAAATTTATATGACAATTTCAGGTCTTGACAGTGCAAGGCAGCTGAGAGGTGAAGAGAGTCTACAAGGCGACAGAATATTGATAAGGTTGTTTTCTTTTTTTCCTGTTTGAGGGGCTGGGAAACCAGCAGAAGGGATAAGTTAAAAATGCCAAAGGGCAAATAACGGAGGACAGCTTTGGAGTAATAGTTAAGGTTGGCCAGGACAAAAAAAAAAGTAATTTTCTTAAACCGAAGAAAGGACTTACAGAACAGCAGTAAAAGGTTACAGGCATTGCCCAGTTTCTAGAAAGGGGATGGAAAATTTTGAATTCTCCTGCAAGTTGGCATTTCTGTTCTGTTAGTGGGGAATGGGGGTTATGGACTACAGCGAAAATCTGGACCATGCGGAGAGTCAAGGGAGGGATTATTGGCTATGAACAAAAGCTCTGCTTTAGGTGACAACTGAATCACGGTAACATCCCTAGATTTTTATGGGATTGATTCAAGATTGATTTCCCTAAGGCAAAAGTCGACGAATTTTAACTTAAATGGTTGAGCACAAGATCAGTGAAGAAATAAAAGATACCAGAAAAGACTGGTAAGTTTTGTGGGAGGCAGAGGAGTCCAGAGATTTGAAGCCCTTAAGTAACGTAGCTTAGGTAGTTTCAGGGGATATGAAAGGTCATAAAAACGCCTACCACAGATGCTAAACAAAACGCCCACATCTACCGTCCGCACCTCATATCCCCGCTGTAGGCACCGAGAGGTGAAAAACTCCCTCTCCCGGGGCTGAACCATACAGCACCGGCGGAGGGGCGCCCCCCTACAAACCCTCTCAGCTCCAGGTTCAGGCCCCATTTTCCTTCAAGACAGCTCGGCAGCGCGCGTTTCCACGAGACTCCTGGCCACGACGTGCCAAGCTGCCCCCTTACACCGGTGGAAAAAGAACCAAGTCAAGCCGCCGTAGGCCGCTGCGCGAAACCGTGAGCGGTGGGGGAGGGGCTGCAGAGCAGGAGGTCGGCGCGCCGCGCCCACTTCCGCCCCACCCACTGCGCGCGCTCGGAGCCCAGCCGCGGGAGCTGCGGGTAGGCCCCGGACGCTTGCGTACTGCTGTTCTCCCCGCGGCCTTTGGCGCCCTTTACACCCCTCCATCCGGTCGCAGCTTTGCGTCTGCGCAGTGCGTATTCCCGGGCTGCGGCAGCCATGCTGAACCCGTACGGAGAGGCGAGTGGGGGGGGACAGGATTGAAGACAATGGGATAGGAAGGCGGGGATATGGAGAAGCAATGGCATTAAGGTGTTCTGGGTCTCTGGAGATAGTCCTGGGCTATGCGACCCCCTCGACCCTTTTTGCGACCCCCAGGAACCTTCGGAAAACTGGTCCCCGCAGTGTGGGGGTGTTGGGGGAGGGAGAGAGGGCAGCGGCACGTGACCACGTCAGCCAATCTGGGTGTTGCTGACGTGGCCGCGCGGCCCCGATGTGTTCCCCACCCCCAGCTCAGTCGTGAAGGGAGGGGCTGGGGGCTACGCCCCCTCCCCCAACCCAGTTTCGGTTTCCGGGGTGGGGGAGGAGGGTGACACCCCGGATTACATCCTCCCCCCGCACCAAGTCGAGGGGAACATTGGAGCCCCCTTGGAAGGTTCCTGCATCCAGGTGAGAAGGGGCCCTTGGGGGGAACGGGGACGTTGACCCTCGTTGAAGTGCTTAACTAATGGTGGGGAGCCCGAGGAGATTCTTGGGGTTCAGAAAAGAATTTTGAGGTTGGGAACGTTCGTCCTTCAAACAGTTTACAGCCAATGGGAGCGTCGAGGGGGGCGAGCGGGAGAGTGCTCCTCTGGTGGGGGAGGGGAATGCCCAACCTCTTGCCTCCATACCAATTGGAGGGCAAAAGGGCTTGGGGCGCTGTGTTCCCCCTCCATTCCATTCGTCCCCTGGGGGGTACAGGAGCCCGGAGCCAGGTGAGAAGGTTCCTTTTTGGCGGTCGGAGGGAAGGGTGACACAGTGGGCTGAGGAGTGGAAGTGGTGACCGTAGTTCGTATTCATGGACGTGAATGTTTAGAATGGGCAACCGGGGTAGTGAACTGAGATTATTTCCGGGTGCCCACTCCCTTTCTCCCCAGAGACTTTTGGAAGGAGCATTTCTGTGCTTCCTTTGTGTCAGCGGTAGGAAACTAGCAGTTAATCACATGGCGTGCTGGAGAATATGCCTCGAGTCACTTACCAAATGTGTGCATTCACGTGGACACGGCCTACGGACCCTTCTGCACAAACCTTTGTTGCTCCTGTGGGATTTTGGTTGAGCCTGTGTCTATCCCAGGCTAGGGAGGGCTTACAGACTGAAAGCTAGGGATCCGCTTGAACGCAGAAACCAGGCCCAAGGTGGGTGCTGGGAGGATGGTATAAAGCGTGGTACGAGACAGGAGGGAGTGAAGCTTAGAACCTGGAATAAGATTTCTCAGCTCACCGGGTTTCGGGTTTCTCCAGGGTGTCACTTTTGCCTGGCTCATCCCCTCCCCCATTCCTGAACAGTTCTCTCCTTGTGTACTGCGGGGGAGGGAACGGAAAGGAGGGAAGAGTTACTTTTCCAAATTACTGACTAGCAGTAGCCTCCCCAGTGACTCATGTGGGGGAAGGGAGGACTTGGAGGGATTGGGAGCAGTGATTTTCCGGAATGCAGGGAAATATGCCAGAGTTAACGTCTGGCTGCCCTTTCGCTTTCGAAGGCCCGGTATTTTGTCGACCTGCTTAGGTTTTTCTCCCCTGGCTGGCCTCCTGATGGGCCCTCTGTGCAGACTTGCAAGGCCCTGGGTGGCGAAAATCAGATTTGGGAGGCTGGGCCACCAGGGGGAGGGGAGTGGGGGGAGAGGAGAGGGCCTCTGCAAAGTTGCTGTGTCATTGCC